CTAACCAAACTGGATAAACACTGCGGCGTTGAGGCAAGGTCTGAAGGCAGGTTATATACTGGAGGATCCTCTAATGATGAGATGCGCCTCAGGTGTGTCGAAGGCTCAGCTCAGGAGGATCCACGGCGAACTCTGCTGGAGAAAGGTGGAACTTCTCCAGATCCCAACAACAACATATAAAAACCAAACCTTCCTCATTCCCTGCTGCTGCCGGTTGACATGGAATGGTGACTGTATGGAGGAGAGTAAGGATTTTAGACGTTCCCACCTACCTGCCCTGCATGCACGACCCCATGTCTACAAACTGTAACCCCTTTGGAGACACTCGTCTCACCATAGTACTTTATATACCAAATAATCTCAGAATAATGCATTAGTGTAATACTTACTGTAGAGTTCCTGCCCCGCAGAACACATACAGTCTCAAGGCCAGCAGCATTTAGTGTTTGATGTTTTATTTTTTATACTTCGGTTTAAATAATTCAAGATTACTTCTTACTTTGATGAACAATGCTGATGTATGTGGAAGAATTGTTCTTTTTTTACCTCATAGCCAGGATGTCCTTGTTAAAGAGACTCCAAATCTCAATAGACTTTCCTTCCTGGTAAAATAAACTTTAAATAAAATTTAAAAAGTAAACATATCCACTAGTGCTGCACCAATACCAGTATCGGGCGGCGCCCCAATCAAGCACTAAAATGGTGGTATTGGTATCGGCGAGTACCAACAAATAGGGCACCGATAGCATTCTGAGAGCCAAAAGTTAATTCAACTATTGTCACCCATTTCAGGTAGGCAATAAAACATTCTACTGAATTCATTTTGTTTTAGTCTTTTTCCTGCTTCACTAAGGAAGGCAGCAGCAGGAAGCCATGATGGCGATTATTTTACATCCAAGTAGTCTGCAGTTCTTCATATATTCACACACATCAATTTCAAACAGATGGTATCGACCGATTCTGCACAGCCAGGTATCGGTATCAGGGCTAAAAAATTGCATCGGCGCAACACTATTATCCACTTTCGTGGTAGAAATTACTGATCAATTACAAAGCGGGAAATAAAGTTAGAAAATAAAAGTATTATGTAATTTCGAGGAGTGGGAAGTTAATTAATCATTTAGTTAGAAGAAAACTGATGAATTCTCTTTACATGGTGTGAAATCAGACATCAGACCGCTGAGTCTTCCCCTCCACTTGGAGTAGTGCACTCACCATCCTTTAACACATCAAATCAGGACCCTGTCTCTTCCATCCTTTGATCTCCTTCTTTTTCTTTATATTTATTGACTGTTTGGGTTTTAAAAAAGTACATCGACGTTTCTTTTGAGCCAGAACTATCTCAAACTATTTTGATTAATATTTCTAATAATAATAACAACAATATTAACAAATAATCTGTCAATAGTTGAACAAACAGGCTCAAAATAAATAAATTTTAATTATGTAATTTACATGTAATGTGTGCTTGCAGGTTACCAGTCACAGGAATGTAATTTTTCTATGCATTTGTGATTCAGGCAATCTGGAAAAAGAAAAGTAAACTGCTGTGGTGTTTTTAGTTTTCCCTGATGAGGAGGAGTAAAATTAAATAGGGGGAGGAAAAACGAATAGTGACGTGTGTACCGAGATGTGCAGAGCGGTGAAGTATATGTACCGTTACAGCCCTAATTTAAATATGTATATAATAATAAGGTTTAGAATAGGGCTCATGGAACGGCTGTAGAAATGGCCTATGAATGATTGACAATCTTTGGAATTTACGAACAAACCCGACAAATATGTGACTGTATGAAGCATATACATTTGGTGACCAAAGCAGTTGCCTGTCTAAAATCAAACATATGTAGGAATGGAAATGAGGGGAATATTTGTTTAGTTTCCAATGTACCTCTCACACTCACTATGTGTTTCTTTTATCCAAAACTGAAAAGTGCTTGTTAGTAAATTTCTTTTGTTAAACACTCCTCCAACTGATCATTATTCAGTAAAACATATTTGATGCAAGGTTTTCACTTCTTTCCTTCCTTTTTCCCTCAGTTGACACTGCCAAAAAGGATATTGTATTCCTCCTTGATGGTTCCGATGCCACGAGGAATGGCTTCCCCGCCATGCGTGATTTTGTTGAAACAATGGTTGAAAAACTCAGTGTGGGAGAAAACAAAGACCGTGTCTCTGTGGTCCAGTTCAGCAGAGAAGCTGAAGTCCATTTCTATCTGAACACTTACAACAACAGAGAGGACATAGTGGATGCGGTCAGAGGACTTAGACACAGAGGAGGAAGACCCCTCAACACCGGGGCAGCCCTCCAGTACGTCAGGGACAATGTCTTTACAAATTCCTTAGGGAGTAGACATCAGCAAGGTGTCTCTCATATGTTGATTCTGCTAACTGGGGGAAGTTCTTTTGACGATGTCGATGCCCC